GAAATAATTTTCTTACCGGCAGGTTACAAATAATTTATCCATATTTTTTCTTTTCCTTATATGCATTTTTTTTTACACTTAAACTTCTAATCTTTTTGCAATTTGAATGGCATGAGGCAATGGATGCAATTTTATCTTTTTTCTGTAGGGTTATACAGTTACCCCAAAGTTGCTTTATTACAACATCTTTGGCCCCTTTGATTTGGTATATTGAATCTAACTGTAACATAGTGTAATTGAATTGAATATAAATGAATAAGGTATGATTAATTTGTTCTCTTTATGAATTTTCTTTTTTTGTGGTTCACTGTTCTCTCTATTCGTACAACAACATCACACTTCTGTAATCATAGAAACTGTAATGCTCAACTCCTGGTAGAGCTATTCCTTCCTCCTTCTCTTTTTGATGGTGCTGAGTAACTTTCTTTTTTCTTCATCCAAATTAACCTTATAATCCATCATTTAACTTTATAATCCACTATTTTTCACCTGCATGAAAAAAACAGGTGATGAGAAAAATTTTAGCTTTACAGTTATATAAAACTAGAGGCCCAGTGCATGAAATTTGTGCATGGGTAGGGTCCCTAGTGGCTGCTGGCTTCCAGCAGGGGCCTCCCTTCTCCTGGCTGCCTGCCTCTGCTACTGGCTGGGGTGAGGCCGACTCGGGGGAGGGGACTTGGGTTCTTGAACAGCCGGCCCCACCCCTGGTCGAACTCCCAGTAGAGGGGACAATTTGCATATTAGCCTTTTATTATATAGGATAATGTTAGAGAACAATCTACTTTTTCTTCATCCAAAAACTTTATAAACCATTATTTTAACTTTGTAATCCACTATTTCTCAGCTACACAGAAAAAGTGATGATAAAAAAATTTAAATTTACTGGAGGCCAGTAAATTTACAAAATACTTGAACAGGACGGGGAGAGGGGGTTCCTCAACCCAGCCTGCCTCCTCTCACAGTCCAGGAGCCCTCAGGGTATGTCCTTCTCTGTAGAGGCAACTGGGCTGATTAAGGGAAGGTGCTTCCCTCTCATCCCGCTGCTCCTGCCACTGCTGGCTGCTGCAGCTGCCAGCCTTCAGCCCGTGCTTCTTAGTGCTGACCCCGCCCCATGCCCAATGGTGGGTAGGAGGCAATCTGGGGCCAGGCTGGCTAGGGGAGGGGCTGTGAGAGGTTGAGGCACAGCAGGTCACACCCCATCCATCCTTTGTGGATGCGTGGTGCCTGGACTGGGCCCATGCTGCTGCCTCCATGCCTGCCTCTGTGGAAGGGGCAGCACTGGGACTGGGTCACGCTGTGGCCTTTCCCGCACCACCTTTGTGGAAGGGGGCGCAGCACCACCTTCTTGACACCTCTGCATAAGGGACCGCAGCACTGGACTGGTGGTGCCGGCCCAGCCTGCCCCCCTCACACAAGCGCCAGCCTGGCCTAACCCACCCCTTCCATGTGAGTGCTGGACCAGCCTGTCCCTCCCTTGTGGCACAAGACCTGCCCACCTCTTTTGTGTGGCACTGGCCCTAGGCCCTCACAGCCTCTGTGGCTTTGTCCTGATGGACGTCTGCCCTAATTAGCACATTACCCTTTTATTAATATAGATAAGATCATGTTAGATAATTAGAAAGTTATCTATTAATTCCAATGTATAAAATGCTTTAAACATGGATCAGTGTTGATTTTGATCAAATGACTTGGGTGCACTATGTAATTTTCTACTTCATCTATCTACACAAATAAAAGAGAAAGATGCAAATTGACCATCACTTTGCAACACCCACCAGCCATTCAGGAGTGAGTATGCAAATTAACCCCCCAAAGACTGTGGGTTAATTTGCATAAACAGGTGCTGAGTGTCTCAGAGCAGCAGCGAGGGGCAATCAGTCCTCTAGAGGGCCCCCACAGAGAGCAAACA